CCCCCAGGAATGTATAATTCTTCAGTCGCTGAAGTTTGCAGGGAGAAAATGGTTAATTGGTGCAGCACTGTAGTTCCTCTTTATAAATTCTGACTAGATCCTATTCCCTTTCTTATTTAGCAAAATGCATCCCACTAGATCTCTACAATGGCATTCTTTTTAAGTTTGATTTAAACATGTTTTGATTTGGAATAATTTGTAATATGTTTTATTCTCTCTGCAGAGTTATGGGAGAAGGGCTATCTTCTCCTCTTTTTATAATCTTTTTACTTTTTTTTTTTTTACTTTTGGAGTTTTTGTGCATGAAAATTCATACTCATGATGGGAAAAGGGTCATATTGATTTGCAAGTTCTCTGCCTTAACTTTGTTGTCACAGCCTGAAATTCTGTGCCACAATTTCATCCAGTGACTGTAATCAGGGCCATTGTGCTATTCCAAAGAAAACTTCTGAATGATCTGTATGTATGTGTGAAATTCTCTGTGTTTAGGAGGAGAGATACAATTAGCCTAGCTTTTAGTTCTCCTTGCATTAGTGATAGTGATGTCAGTTTCAAATACTGCCTTCTCTTAACATGTATTTGGTGTTTAACTTGACTAGAGTGATTCTCCTAGTGAGTGATGCAGATAAGGCTGGCCATTAGGAGATGCTAGCAGAGAAGGTTGCTGCTGAGAATTCCAAGACCATAAGCACTTCACCCTTCAAATGCCCCCCAGCACTGCCTCTGTTTTAAGAGCTAGCCCCCCCCCCCACTTCTGAGCATTTTCTCAAGCAATGACTACTGAAGTTTAACTTTGTGTCAATTAGGAAAGGACTAAAACCTATGATTTTTGCATTGAATTTTAGAGCTCCTTATAATGGCATAACCTAAAAATGAAGAAGAAATCTGGAAAATCCCATTAAATAGTCCTTTTGGCAAATGTATTAATATAGGGAAAAACGATTATGTTCACTGACTTTTTTGAAAACTAAATTCTACTGGGATTGATTTTTTTACAAAATTCAGAGTAAATAGTACCTACATGCAGATTTTATTCTCTATAAATTCAGGCTATCCCATGATAATATAGCAGCACAACATTGCACCCTTTATAAGTCTTCCTAAAGTGCATTTCACAGATTATGTTATACTTTCTAGCTATCCAAAGCATGAACAAGTAACTTCACTATGAGACATGCTGTGTGCATTTTCTGTATGCATGTACATCAAAGGTTTTCAACCTAGCAGATTTCTCAAAAGACAAGTAGACCCACTGCAGTAGGAACTGCCAGAAGAGAGCTACAGCCATCCTAATGCTTTCCCCCCCTTGTTTTGTGAATTCAGCTGCAGGTTGAAACTCAGGAATTTGTCTCCACCTGACTTGCATGTGAGAACTGCTCTGGTGGGAAGGAATCTAAAGCCATCACCATGGAATTTGTAATGAAACAAGCTTTAGGAGGTAAGAAAGAAATGGTGCTATTCAATAAGTGCTTAATGGGTAGAAGGAATCTTAAACTGTCAACATGGAATATATGATAAAAGGACAGTTGATGTGGTGGGTGCTGTTGTGCATGACCTGAATTCATGACTTTTCATCTGCAGTGAAGTTTTCATAGCAAGCAATGCAGATTTTCGGTTGGCAGTTTTGGTGGCTAAAGATTAGAAGAACCTTGGTCTGGGTCACTGAACTGCTTAGTGGAATGTACAAATAATTTATCCCTTTACATTCCACTCTCCCAATATGTTGTGTAAACTTTAACACTTCCATTGATCATTTATCTTTTAGATGAAACATTATTGCATTATTGATTCTTCAATCCAGTAGGGGACAGTATTGAGAACTGCCTCAAGTCTATGGTGGTTCCTGAATGATTTACCCTGAATGCAGAAATATATGTATATTTCTTCTACTACTGGTTCACTAGTTATTACTCCTAATAAATCAAATAACTGTACATTTTATTACAGGAGAGGGAAAAAAGCATTTGCAGTATAAGATGGAACATGTTTAAATAAGTTAAACTGTCATTGCTTTCATTCAAGGGATGGGATATCAGGGAATCTAATTTTACAAAGAACTAAAGATCTCTAGTTTGGCACACATTTTTAGCTCGCCCAACAAGCTCAAAATTTTCCCCAGGTTCTTAAGGAAAACTCACATCAGTCAAACTGGTTTCAACTCGTCTGCTAGCTGCAATATAATACATCACATGGGATTTTGATAATGGGGATATATCGAGGGATATGGAATATTGCGGCAAGAAATCCAGTGCAGCTTGTTAATGAGTACAGTTTTTGTGAACTGTTTTGGCCATGTCTGATCTTTTAATAGATGTCCTATTACATGTGTCGCCGTGATAAAAAGAATGTATGCAGGGATGGGATAGGAAAATACAGCTGAGGAAGCTGTTGGATGACATTGCTATTCTGAGTGTCTTTATGGTGGACTCATTCTCTTCCACCTCATCCAGTACTATTACAGAGTATATTTTAAAATGCTCCTCCATTGACTGGCATTTCCAGATCCTATTAAGCCTTGAACTGAAAGCCGCAGACAGGTTTTCAGATAGTTTGCAAGTCATGTTGGCTATGGTTTGGTTCCACCTAAAGATTTATCCTGTTAGTGGTAGGATTGTTGTTTATGTTATTCTGTGTGGTTGCAATTGGCCATATAAACACATTAAGAAGCTCTTTACTTCATCAGCCTCATTTATATTCAATTAAATTCTTCCTTATGTACAAGGAAAATAAGCATTTTTTTTTCTTATTTGCAAGTGATTTAAATGAATAGTGAGCTCTTTAAAAAAGAAGAGAACAATATTTATTTTCCGTTTTGTTTGACTGCAGTTCTGTCTCTGGTTAGGTGCCGAAATCTAATTTCATTCAAATTCCTTTTAAAGGACATCATTCTTGGAAGTGCATAACATGATTCAGCTTTTTATGGGTAGAGCTGCTTCCATAGGAAAGGACTAACAAAGGACCCAGGAGGCTCTTTTCCCTGCATGGCTCCTCTTCAACATAAATACTTCATTGTATTTTGGTCATTGCAGAGATAAGCAGGCAGACCAGAAATCAGTCTCCTCTTTGGTGTCTTGGCCTGCAGGTTATCCATGCCCTGAGAATTAGCAAGAAGGAAAGGAAGTGGGTTCTATTAAACCCTATACTTTTTCTGGAAAATGCCCATGATGATTTTTTTTTTTGGTTCATCTTTATTCTGTTGATGTGTGAATATAGTAGTTGCATCTCTGAACAGGGCAATATTTCAAATTTATGCTGACATTATTTTCACTGCTGAAATTCCAAGTTCACCTATTGAGAAGAATGCTCAGATAAAAACCATGGGACAGACCTCCAAATAAAAATGTTCTTGATGGGAATTTTCACAGCCCCCTCGTAGAGCCATTTAGACCACTGAATTGAGCCCCTTGCTCAGTAGAATCCAAAATAAAGGAACTTTGACAGATGACTGCCCAATCTTGAACACATTCAGTGAAAGGGAGCCTACCACCTCTTAGGTAACTAGTTCCATCGTTCCTGCTCTTACATGAGGGATTTTTTTCCTAACATTCAAAAAGAATATGCCTTCCTATAATGAAAAATCATTAATTATGGTTACGCAATCTGGGATGATAAAGAAGAGGGCAAGTTCTTCCTCTCTGCAACAACACTTCAGATACTTGAAGAACATATACACACACTCAGTGGGCAGGACAGGAAAACTACAAAACTGTTCTACTTAGAACAGCTAAGTGCCAGCCTAAAAGAGAATAACACTGGAATAATAGAGAAGGGGAACTTGTGCCCCTCCAGAAGGGACACTTAACTACATCTCCCAGCAACTCTAATTAATATTGGCTGAGACTTCTGGGAACTATAATTCAACCACACCTGAAACAGCACAGATCCCTTGCACTTTGTTAAGGAAGCTTGATAAGGTACTCCGCTTGAAAAAAAAACCTGTTCCAGAGATGGTTAGAATGAATTAACTGAATTTGTTTTTTTTAAAAATTCAGATAGTAGTTCTGTCAGATTTATTGTACGTCCAGCAGTATGTGTTGTGGGTGGGGAGGAGACAGTTAAGGAGGGATGAGAATCATAATATCAATGTCAAATCACTGCGTTGCAAGTCCTGTGCCTTTTGTACATATATTGTGACATTGCACTCACATACAAAAGGGGTGGAGCTTGTGGCAAAATAAAACCAAAATATTCTTTTCATCATTGTGACGAAAGCAGCAAGCTCCTGCAGACGTGCATAGCATTGTCCTTCTTAATAAATTGTTCCTTGATTTTTTATTTGGTATCTATCAATTTATAACTATTTATTGGTACTGAAGGTGACTTTCAAAATTATTCATATATTGTTATTTCCTTTTTCATGATATTTTCTTCTCTGCAGTCCTCTGCGTAATTATATCCAACAGTTGTTGTTTTTTTTAGTCCTAATCTTTCTTTCTTTCTTGTGAATTTCTTCTGAGGCTAACAACCTTGCTTGGATTTCAATAGGAACTTTAGTTCCTAGGAGAGATGTCATATATATTCTATATATTCGGTTGAATTATTTAGTTATACTTGGAGTAACCCTACTGAACTCAATAGGACTTGAAGTAACTATATTCTAATTATGACTGAATCTAACACGCTACCTTCTCCTGAAGCCAGTTGTATAATTTATGGGCCTATAGTTGGTAGCCCATGGTGTATACTAACAGATATACTGTGTATATATATATATATATATATATATATGTATATATGTATATATGTATATGTATATGTATATGTATGTATGTTTGTGTGTGTGACCTGTCTACATCTAGTTCATATTAGAACATTTTCCCATATTATTCCAGTCAACTATTTTTTAAAAATATGAATCATCTACATTTATTTCATTAAACTTTCCTCAATTAAAGATTTGTATACAATTTTCTCCTAAAATATGCATTTTAAGAAAGGCAACTACCCACCATAGGTGCTTTTTAATCACATCATTTCTCAGGGCATATCTCCTTTGTATTACATCTTTCTAAATAAATTCTTTTTTGTGAGAATTTTTGAGTAGAAAGTGACTACTGTTGCAAACTCTGCTCTCAGCTGTCTCTGTGCCACAATACAAGCTATTTTGGCAGTACATGCTCCCTGCCCCCACATTGTAAATTAATGTTACATCTCTAATGAGCAATGATTTGAGGAATGGGGTGGGTTGGGGATGGTGGGGGGAGAGAGGCAGTAGATATAAACTTTTCATCTTAACCCAAACCAAATTGCCACCTATTTTAAATGTGGAAATGCGAACGACTTCAAAGGCATACTGGTTGTAGACATACAAAATCAATAGCTGGAAATATATACATGCACTATATTTAATTTTGTGAATATATTAAACTCATTGGGAATCAGTGTGAGAAGAGCTCACTGTGTCAATTTAAAAACATCTATTGGGAAACAAGTAGAGTTCTGACTAAGGTAACACATGCATTATTTAAAATTAGGCATTATAATATGTTTATATTTCATTTCTCCATGAGGTCCCATTCCAACAATATATTTTGTGATATTTTATCAATGTAAGACAACATAAGTTGTTATATTATAACAGTCTCCTGGTTTCTAATCTGGTGTCTTAACCTTTACACTAAACTGACTCTCAGAATAATCAGCGCCTCAAAATATCTTTGTACAAATTTAGTCTGCAAATATTCTGCAAATGGGTGAAATAAGAGAATCAATAAGAAGAACAGAGAGGCAACGTTCACAAGGCAAGCTGGAAATGCATTGAGAATACAAGTGCATTTTCTCTCTTTGGATCAGGCGGAGGTTATAATAACAGGTTCGGCTTCCATTGATTTGTTTGGCAATTTTAAATAAGCTAATTTCAAAGTAGTTGGACTTGGTCGCTGCACAAACACATCAATATAAAACAAAGCAAATTAAATCTGCTGAGTCCTTTGATGTGCATTTCAGAATGTGACTTTGTCATTACCTAGAAACAATGACAAGCCTGCTTATGAGCTTGACTTTATTAAGAATTGCCACACAGTTACAATTCCAGAGTTTATTTGCAGCAATATTGACCTTGGAACAATGTCATCCCCGTAGTTGCTATTCAAATTTAGAGCAATGCAAGCTGAAGAAGAAGAGGAAGAGGAAGAAGAAGAGGAGGAGGAGGAGGAGGAGGAGGAGGATCTTTTAGGAAAGGTTATAAAGTTGACTAGATGGGAATGATGAAAACTGGAGAAAATAGAGCACGTTTGAGAGATTTTTGTGTTTAAAGAGGGCCATTCAGCTGTGGTTTCTCTCATAGCACAAAAGTATAGTCCTAATATAAATTAAATGACTGACAGTTAGGCACTCTTTGATGGCACTGTAAGGCCAGAGTTGGGAATAAATTGTGTTGAGTTAAGTGGAGCTTATTTGTAAATAGGCATTTATATTACACTGCATTTCTGATGCTTG